CTGTCGTTATTCCAACATGTACTCGTTACATAATTTACAATGTTGCAAATTTCCTTCCGTTATATCTATCATGGCATTGCTTATACGTATTTGCACAATTATTGCATTTCGGCATTTCGCTTGTTGTACATATCTTCGCGGTCTACAAACATGATCACAATATAGATGAATTTGCAATTAATGCGAATTGAATCATTAACGAAAGGTAGTAGATAGGGCGATGAAATGGAACTGTTAATCAAAGGAGGATAGATTATACGTATATATATCAATTTACTGCTAATCCGTAGAGAGAAACGCGTTGTTTGATTATAATTGGAATTCTCGGATCGGTGGACCAGATCATATGAAGATGGGTCGTTGGGTCGGTGTGTCGGCAACCTCGTAGCGCGCTCCTACATGTTGTAACCCCGTCACAGAAGGCCTCTGCAACCTCCGTGTAAAATTAAACCTCTCCTTGAAGCCGGAGCCGGATTTATACGATGGCTAAATATGAGCCGGCACCGTCGCCATTCTCGGAGGCCGTCACCCCTTTTCCGTAGGGGGCGGCGTTGGTGGCAATGTCGGGCGAGCTCCGCCACTTTCGTACGGCGTGCGCGCGAAGGGGATAATTTGTGAACGACGTGGAATTGCTGGGAAATAGGAGACGAGAAACTACTATAGCGCGCAACCCCCTCGTCCCCTCGTGCCCCGCATCTGCCTACTTCGGTCGCAATGTCGGTATTAGCGGAGAAGGTGTTCAGGGAAGTGTTCGCGCATAGGTGTTCTCGGATGCGCGAGCAGCATGCGGGGAAAAACGAGAAGCAGAGAGAAGAGAGAGAGAGAGAAAAGCAGGAGCCAGAAGAGAGTGAAAAGGAGATAAGTAGAGCGACGAGGCAGTGTAGAAAAGGAATACGTGGCAAGGAAAGGGACGCAAAGAGGGTGTACGAAGATCGGAAGTCGTGCAGTGAACGTTGCGTGAGACATGAAGATGGCACGTAGCACGTCAATGCCATTGCCTGTCGATTTACATCTGATATGTTCCGATATATTAACTTGACTCGCGCGCGCGTGCGCTAGCCGAAGGCTCATTCTTGGCGGATCCGTCTTCCCAGAATCCTAGGATGATACGCGAGACCACAGATTCGCTACGATAACTCGATTCGTCCCATCCAATGCGTAATGATGTAAGTCGAGGCCGTGGAACGTAACGATGCGAGGCGCGAGACGATGCTTATGAATAATTCAGCGAGCTCGACGCTGCGTGGAGGCTCATGCCTAGAACTATTGCCGCAAACATAGGCGATGTACTATTTGCCGCGCAATTAGCTTCGGAACATCCTGATCATTGCTTTCCGACTATTCGAGGTATTTGTACGCTAATCACGGACGAATACGCCTATATGAGCATTCGCGAAGGGCATACAATCCGAGATACCGGAACTCTCTGGACTTTCTGATTTATCATCCAATATTTGAGTGCGGAGCTTTTCAATCAAGGCCCAGGGTTTACACAACAGCCCGCGGCTCTGTTCGACTTGATTCAATGGCGTAGTCGAAGCCATGTAGACGGAAGCAGAGACAAACAACCCCCCTAACTATCTCTGTCCCTTCTTCCTTTTTCTTCGCCGTTCCGCCCGCGGACGCACCTTCAATCCGTTCTACTATCACAGACTTGCGAAGCTTCTCGGCGCTCGGGGTCGAGTCGCGGAAAAAAAAACAGCGCAATCATTATCTTTTGTCACATGAAATGTGGCGGAAAGCTGGAAAACTTCTCTGCGAAAGGAGAAATTCTTCAAAGGAATGGAATCCGCGCGATAAATATTTCATGTTTCTTATAGAAATCAGTAGAAAAGAGAACATAATGGTAATAAAAGTATCAGTATTGTTGGAACTTTTGTGGAACTTTCGGTACTACGGCGTTGCCTCCGTTAACGTAACTTACCTACTTCTTAAATCGGAAAATATACGCGTATGTATATTACAGCGTATATTACAGCGCGTCTACGGCGAAATTTTTCGAGGGGAGCGCGAACGTTGCATGCGTTTAAAGAGGTACCGGCGATAACTTTGTGGAAATGATGCTCGGACGCGTTGCACCTGCACACGGTTGATACACGGTGTATCTCATTGCATGTAGGTACCGAATGGGGGAGAAGGGATTACGGACGTCAAAATATATGGCGCCGCATGACAGCGCTGCAAAAAATAAGGGGGAATATGATAGTTGTGTAGCCTGCTATTTCAGAGACGAGCAGAGCAGGCGAAGCGGGGAATGACGACGACGACGACGACGACGACGACGACGGTAGCGGCGGCGATGACGACGACGACGAGAAGCGGGGAGTGTACGGGGGTGTGACAGGACAGTCGCAGTCGGAACGGTGTCGCGTCGTTGTTCCCCGACGGAACAAAGACAGAGAAGATGAGAGGTGAAAGGGACGCAGACAGGGGGTGAAACGCGCGACAACAAGGGGCTCTCTCGTTTCTGCGTGTGATGTATCCGCTACTATTCTGTAGGATAAGATCTTTGCGGGGCGCACACGTGTACATGTAACGCGCGCTATAACTATGTCGAATGTCTAGGGATGCACACGTACGCAAATTTCGCAAACGAGGTAGCTACGTGGAAATACGGCGGGGCTGCTGCTCTGGCGCAAGGCATAGTCCTCGCCGTCCTACGGATTTATTTTAGCCTGGTTAATATCTAACGACCCTTAAATTAAAGGGGAAGGGGAGGCGGTATTTTCATGGTGACTGGTCGAAGGTATTACGCGGGACGAGAATTTAATCCGCTTGACGTGCCCAAATCGTGTAATGTAATTAATAATTGCGGTGGATTTACGGGGAATTGTGAATTTCGAAAATAAAATTCATACGAACGTATAGAAATACTTCCTAAAAGAGGAACGAATCGTGGAAGACGGTCGTTCTGTGGGAGAAATGAATGCGGGAGTCTGTGCCACACTTGTACAGATAATATTGAATATCAAAATTATTTGTGAACACGTGAGAGTGCGTTTCTCATAGCTTTCAACAGTTTTGATAATCTATGAACTTCGAACTTCTCGTCAATGTAACGAGTTTGCCTGTTACACGCGAACGTACCCTCGGTTTATCGGCTGCACGCTTTCCATTATAATTCTCATTCTGGGATCGAAAAATTTCATTTTACCCCCGTAAATAATGTTTCAGTAATATCAGGCGCTAGCGCGTCGACGTCGGACTTGCATTATTATCAATCACAGTGGCAGCGCCGAGCTGTGCGAGCAGGTCGCGCATACACACACACAGACACGCACACATGTGCACATCACTCTCACTCACATGTCGTCTGCGCTCTTCTATCGCCGCGTTCGTCGGCGCGTGAATAAGTAATCAGAGCCTGATGAAAAGTGTCGCCGCCGCGGGAATTTATGGGCATCGGGTGCGCGACCCGGAAGTGTCAACTTTCTAGCGTCACCCTGTGGAAGGTAGTCAGAGGTGGTATGATCAAACGCGAAATTTCCGGTAGCGTCCACCGTGAAAAACGCGACTTGACGTGACCGATGACGTTTAACAATGGATTATAAAAACTCCATCACTCATCTACTTGCACGTCGAAATTTTCCGACAATCTTCCCTACGGGTTCTCCGTGTTGACGAATAAAACGTTAAGCGCTCGCGGAATAGACTGTAATTAAAAAAGAGAGAAGAGTTATCAAAAAGGAAGGTGAACGGGCGAATGAAACGCGTCGTCATTCCGGTATTTGTCCCTGCGGAGAGACCCTGCAATCTCCTGTTGCTGCATCTCGTCCGTAACTATTTTGAGATCCCGTCTCACCCCAAGAAATTAAGAAGCGCCATTAAGGCGCGCGCGGTCGCTCGCTGAAACGGACGTTACCTTGCGACGTTACGGAGGCGCGCATAGTAGACCCATTGGCGCCGTAGGTTCTTTCGCTAAAAAGTACAAAGGTTGACATAGAAATACGCTTAGCTTCAAAGGGAACGAGAGTGACTGGAAGCGGCATCTCGGCGAAGAAGACAAGGGAAGAGGAAGAAAGCGAGAGGGAAAAGAGAGAAAGAGAGAGAGAAGCTGAGATAAAGGGGGTTCTTTTAATAACGGTCCGGACTGGCGTTACCGGGCCTCGCGAAGCTAGTGCTTTCTTAAGGCGGCTGGTAAAGTGCCCTTGGTACAGTGCTGCCGGCAATATCTTCCGATTACGGTTAAGTAAAGACCCAACCTTAACTTTCCACCTAACCAGGGTATTCGCTTTCTCCCTCCCCGCTTTCTTCCCCTCCTCCGCCCGGAGTCTAGACTCTGCTAAATCCGATAAGACAACCGTGCGCAGCTCTACAGTCAAAATTGCAATCAAGCAACTATCTTAAACGAAGACCATGAAGATTTGACGCGCAAAAAGCGATCAGCCACAAAGACAGTAAATAATATCTTTGGTACACGGAGAAAATTTTATAGTAAATATTACTATGGTGTCGCACTAGCTGCGGACCATCGAGGAATTTCAAGTTAAAATACTATAATTATTGTTTTAAAAACGATAAAATAACGTAATTTTTACCATAAACATACACCCAGAGAAAAGATTTATTCAGAACAAATAAAATTTTGTTCAGACTAATAAATTCTTTTATTTATATATCGGCCTAATAGCATTTTATTAATTTCAAGCTTATTTATTTATTTGGCTACATGTTTGTTGCTATAAATAAATATTTTATTAGATACTAAGAGTTCACATATTTAATGTCAACTTAATGACTTTCTTAGTATCTAATAAAATATTTATTTGTAGCAACAATATTTTTTTCTTTAAATAAAATATATTTTTAAATAAAATATATATTTGATTTTTTTTCATATATATAGGCCTATTGCTTTCTGATTTTATACAAAAATTAAATAAAACACAAAATTGCTTAAAATTTGTTTATTTTAATTAAAACTAAAAAAATACAATTTTTAAAATAAACAAAGTATAAAATATACATAGTATATGTATATATGGTATAAAAGTATGCAATTACAGTTTTATACATATAGTTAATTTAATAACAAATCGAAGTTTTTTTTAATTATGCGGCATAAGGAACAGTAATATAATGCTTCTCATTCATTTTGCGCAAATATAAAGGTGTTGAATCTGGCAAATTATTGACATTAATATATCGATTCTGAACATCAACTTCATTAGGTTCAACAACATATGAATGGCAGTGTTCGTCAAAACCGAGGGTGCGTATATTTTGATATGAAAGCAATACTGTCTCCTGCTTTACGAATATAGCTGTCACTAATCCGAAATGTGGCAAATCGTCGTGTGTATCTGTGCGTACAACACATTTCCCTGCTTTATACAATCGCCCGTTATAATCGATCCATTTAATAGCAACGAATTCTTCATCAATTTTGTTTTCTGCAATCGCAATTATAAAAACATTATTATTGAAACTGATGATGATACATTTCCTAAAACTGAAACGACATCGAAACGACGGAACACTCGAGAAAACTGATTTTATTCAAATAAATTTTATAAAAATAAAAAAATTTATTTCATTTTAATAGAATTTATTTGAACCACACATGCCCTCTCATTTGATAAAAATGTTTGTTTATTTGAATAAGATCAAAGACACGAGATGACGAAAAGCTTCGCATTCGTCATATACATTGATCATCGATACATTGTACGAGCTTTCTCTAATGGCCAATTTCTTCACCATCGAATAACCCTATCCTTCGGTTAACCTCACTCTTCATCTTTTTCTAAGGGGGGCAGTTAGAAAGAGTGAGGTTAGAAAGAGTGAAGAGTGAGGTTAACCGAAGGATAGAGTTATCCAACGGTGAAGAAATTGGCCCTAAGCGAAAGAAGGACCGACATACATTTTTTACTATAAACGATTAATAACCCATTATGATAGAATAACTGTAAAAGTTATTCTTAGTGAAAGGTGATAATAGGGCGCCGGTCATTCGTCACATCTCACATATATAAGTTTCGTGCATTTTAGAATTAGAATATACTTGTGAAAATTTCTATGTAGCTCTCCAAGCCTGAATTTTGTAAGAATGTCACCATCTCATGATCCATCTTCACTGTTACAATAATTTTCGACAAAACGCACTGCACACTGCACACGTCTATACAGGACGAGAAACAAAATAAGTGACGGGCGCGCGCGACGCAGCCAGCTACATCTATTAGCAAGCGCAACTTGATTTGATCTATTTGACCAAAAGAAATACTTATTTATATTTTTAATTTTGAATATCGCGTTTATTCAAACCAAAAGAATATTTCTTTATATGGCACAGCTATACATAAATAAAATTATTTAGTTGCACCAAGTAGCTCTCATAGTCACAATCTAATAAAAATTTTGTTCGCACAAATAAAATTATATTATATTCAAATAAATAATGTTCTAATGTACTTATTTATTTGAATGTAATAAATCATTTCTCTGGGTGTAGTAATTTAACTTAAAATTCCTCGATGGTCCGCAGCTAGTGCGACACCATAGTAATATTTACTATAAAATTTTCTCCGTGTATGGATTAGAGTCGCTGAAATTTCATTGAATTATTAAAAGAGTGTCCGATTATCCGACTTAATTAGCGTAAAATCTCTGATTCGCGCACTTGTTGCCGAATTAACGCGCTTAATTCACATTGACGAGAGTGGTTAGGAAGGAGGAAGGAAAACGACGGAAAATGTGTATCGGACGGAAGTACCGCGATAGCGTTTCCACGAATCGAGTTTCTCCCCTCGGTCATTCGAGACGTATCGGGGCATACAGCATCCGAAAGAAGTACATAGCGGTAATTTATTCTAATTGGATGAAGTACGGTCATTAATAAGCAATGCACCCGAAAGCAGGTTGACGGGAGGATAAGCTATTTTCTTTATATTCTTTCGGCCGCGTTGTTTCTGTCCTTTCTTTCTTTTTTCGCGCACTTTCCTCTCCTCTTCCTTCCGGTCTCGGTTTTCGCGTTGCGCGACGGAGAAGGAGAACGCGGGGGAAGGGAACGAGCGCGAGGTGGCGGATCTTAATAGCACTTATTACTCTCGTCGGAGGCTTTCTGATATATTTCCTCTATTTTTCGCCCGCGGGGAAATCAGGCGCGTAATAGTATATAATTAGTTATATGGTCCCTCTCCGTAACCTAGCCTGGTGTATTATGCACGATCAAAGTGACAGAGAGGCGCGTAGCCTGCAAGTGAATGCAGCCCATACCTCATTAGCCGCGTACGCGCAGAAAATTGGGACGATATGTCTGGAATTTCCGAGGGCAGCGTGATAGTCCGTCATAGTTTCGACGCCTCGTTAAATTGTGTGGCCCCCATCGACGGCGACGTAGCGTAACGCGGCGATCGTTCGATATATTAACCGTTTGAAGTTACATTTCATTATATTAGATTCGCCGAAATACCACGCGCTGAATTCATCGATGGCGCACGCTCGGGTGCTGTGTGTACATCAAAGGAATAAATAACATCGGAGTGATTGCAGTGCGAAACGAACGGAAAACGATACGGTTCATTAATATGTCTCGTCATTTATTCGATAATTCTTTACGTACCGAAATTCTCTCTCTCTCTCTCTCTCACCATTTGAAATAATTCAAGTATAATTGCGATTTTTATTTACCGTCATTGCTGATCGATAGAGAATATGCGGCACGTTATTTTTGCTTTTGTTTGCCACGTCTCGTTCTGCCGCAAAGTATAAGTGAATGAACTATCGCGATAGAAAAGAAGTGGGGAAACATATAGGACGATTTCAAGACGGAGGCCTCCAAGAAGGAACGAAAATCTGTACGAGGACAAGGGATAATCGCAACTAGACGTAGAGACCGGTCTGACGCGCGGGATTGGACACGTAATATCATCGTTTTCGGTTATCTGCCGCGAGAGAGAAGATAGGAGGCGGTCGTGCGGAGGCGACTCAATGGAGGAAAGGGGCATCTTACCGAGAGAGAGAGAGAGAGAGGCTTGTGCCGGGAGAAACGTGTGGACTGAAGGGGTTCGAAGTTGGTGGGCGGGCGGATTTGCGGGAGCCCCCGGTTCCCAAGGGACTCCCACAATTGCCTCGTCCCGCAATTATACGTTTGAGCGGAGCTACTATCTCCGTTAATGTGCCGGACTCCGAACTCGGGGAGTCCAAGCAAGGCCAACTAGCTGAAGGTATCGGCGCGGTGAGAGCGCACCACCCAATATCGTCACCGTTGATGCTGCCGCCACCACGAAATATTGCCCGTTGCACTACGACCCGAGGACCAAATGTGTATTTAGTTATACAGCCTCTTTGATCCCGCGCTATCTCGATTACCAGCCGCTGTGTGCACCGCAATTTTCAAGCAATATCGAGCACCTACTTCCGAGCGCACACGGCAGGATGCCGTATACGTCGTATGGAAATACATCGCCGGAGAAACGCGATTTTTTAACACTATCGCAAGCGGAAACGCTTCCTATGCTGGAAATATCTTGTGTCTAGATGTGATAGTCAAATATAGTGCTCGCCGAATTATTTCCGATGCAAGAAACACATGACGGTATATTACGTAATCCCGTAAATCCCGAGGGATAGAAAAATATGAAATACATATCACAATGCAACCGTTCTTTAAACGAATGTTCAGCTCTTTCTGGGATCAAAAGCATTACTAGTTGTAAAATCCAGAGCTACGATTATCGAACTCGTGTCGACGAAGCAATATCGTATCGCATAACCATGCCGAGAGAAATATATTCCCGCCGAATTATTATTACCTGTGTATATCTCCGCTGGAAATAAAGCGGGGAGTACAAGTTCCACGAGGGAGGTTGATAAAAATTAACGGTCTCCCGTGAAAGAATTAACGACGGAAAGAGAGAAAAACCGTAAGGCGAGGAAAAAAAAGGCGCCGCGCTTTAAGCGTTAATTAGGACGGCCAACAGATTATACTAATTTCCCTGCCGTAACGAAGGTTGTTAAAATCGTGACAAAAATGAGAGCATGAAAAATAATGTGCGTATTTCTCGCCGTCTGAGCTGAACTCATCCGATACCAGGGGCGCTCCCTGCATATGGATACGCCGCCCTCCTGCTGGATTGAGATAACATAATAACCGCATTTACGGGAGGCGCCTAGCTACCTCTAGGATACATCGGGATTGGAAAGGATAAAATATCATCTTAGTTACTGTTGCCGGTAAGGCAACGTCTCGTATAATGTGTACTGTCTGGCGTCCGATAACAGAATTGAAAAATCGTGATAAGTCGATCCTCTCTCTTCAACCGCTTACGACGGCTTAATTTTCATTTACGTTAAACATTTATATTGAATTTTATTTATACTGAGATGTTATTTTTATTTATGTGTTGCACAACAGTTTCGTATATCCGTGCACATAGCAACGAGAAACGATGATTATTATTTTAATACGATTTTAAAGTGTCTTAGAAAATTGAGCCAAGATCTAAATTTTAAAATTGACTCACGAGAGACTATAAGATACCGAGTTTTTCTCTTATTGGATCGATTTTTTTCATCGTGCAGTATTTTTCGTCCCTGGATGTACGAAGATAAAGTATCCCGACGCTGGTTCTCGTCCTGATGGCCGTGTGTTGTATACCGTACGATAGATGGACGCATTCCGAGTTGACACTTCGAACAACCCCAAAAGCTTTCACCGGGAACACACACAACCTGGCTCTGGTAAATGCAAACATTTCTGCGGTTCGGGGGCGCGGAAGGGACGACGATTTCGAGTAGACGACCAACCGTAGGCTAAATGGATCCATTGTGCCATCGAGCAAAGTTGAAGCATCGAACAATCGACTGCGGTCATCGACTATCGGTCACACGCACCTAAAGATAGTGTCAAAGTCATGAGAGGCGAGAACGACCGAGAAGCGGAAATCGCGCAAGCTATGTTATAAAGGGGCTGGACGCGAAACTGATCGCCCGCGATAGGAAAATACAGGAGTATCGATAAGTATTTGCTTAGGCTCCCCCGTGAATTATTCGTCGGAGAACGGACATGACGTCTTACCGCGAATAAAAACATCCGTTTGCCGCCGTTTTTCTACTTATTTCAATAGACCACGAGCAGTTAATTACAGAATAAAAAAATAAAGGTTATTTTTGCGGAGACGATTAGCTTAAGCTTCTAAATAAAAATAACTAACTTTTTCGAAAGAGTATTATCATATCTGGTTTTTAATACACTGTGTGTGGGAGAGGAGTGGTTATAGGATATAACAAAACAGTAAAAGGAAGCAAAATAATATAGATACAAATTGTGGAATTTTGTATAATGTACGTGTATTTTATTATACGATACAGAACATAAAAGAAAATAGCTGTGTGTATTCGCACGCATGGTAGGTTTCCGCAGGATGTATTTTTATCTATTTCAAAGGCTTTAACAGCCGTATAAAATTGTTTTACTGTCTCTTTAGCGCATTTGAAACATACGTTAGCGTTACTCGCTAGAGAAAGGACATCGAAATTTTGTGGTTTTTGATGCTATTTCGGATATCTTTATGACGCATGAAATTTACTGTAATTACGCGTAATAATATAATACGTAAATGCATATAATACGAAATATCTTTGCGAGAAGATTTCTGCTGAAACTGTAAATTCTGTGAAATTCATCGTTACAATATCCACGTTGAATTCTGACCTAGTTACTGAAATTGTGGAATAACATTCTACTTCTACGATTTTATGCAAAGTGATACAAGACGAAACTCAAATTTCAATACCATTCATTCCGAAAGTTTCTTCCAAATTAAGTTTGGCAAGTGGGTCCTTATCTACCGCTTTCGCGTGTATTTATATAGAGAAATCTCTGTTAACGTGAGTATAAAAGGAGTCGGCGAGGATACATCGCGAGGAAAACTCACCCCCCCCCTCCACGACGCTAAGGATACCAAAGTGTCGGGAATCCCGAAGGTAGGTACTCCCAGTAGCGCGATTACCGAACTTACCTGGAACAAAGAACATAAGGCTGAATTAGCGTGAGGATAATGGCACATTCGTTTCAATGCACATTTAGCGACAAAACAGCTGCCGTAAATGCTGATAACACCATAAGGGGGCTTTTACGCGAGACGATATCGCGCGGCGTTTCTTCCTTTTTGCGCTGCCAGCGCACGACGCATCCGCCTTACGTACCTCGCTCGCTCGCTGGCTGTACGCGCAAAAGTCCGCCAGTTTAATGTCATTTCGTCCCTCATTTGTGATTCATGAAATCGTCCGAACTTTCGTCCCCCCCCCTACACCCTCCTTCCCCTCGCCACGTTTCGAAAGCGAGCCACCGTGATCCCATTTCAGCTGTCCCACGGGCACGGCCCGGATTCCGAAGCTGTCGAATAACCAAATAGCGAAATCGATCTATCCGAGGGCATGCGTGTATATACGCCTGTATTCCTAGACTAGTACGT